GGCAGCTCCATATGCAGAGAAATTCCTACACCAGACCTCCTGTATCTGAGAGGCCACCGGGACTGCATGGTCAACAGTGCTCTGACGGAAAGCTGCTACAAACACACAAATAAGCTGTTTGGTACATTTAGATAAATACAGCTCCACTGACAATATCACAGAGACCTTACCACTGCCAGTACAACACACACAGCAAGGCACAAAAGAAACTAAGTCAGAAAGGCATAGCAAAGAAAAGACCCTCAGGGCTTTGCAGGAAACAATATAAAACACACTTTTCCTATTCCTCTCAGACTGACCTGACAAACTCTTCCCACCTTCCAAGAGTCAACTAAATACTGCCATCTAGAAGAATTTTCCCACCGAGTGGTGGTGGCACATGCCTTTAATCCCAGGACTCGGGAGGCAGAGGCAGAAGGATCTTTGTGAGTTTGAGACCAGCCTGGTCTACAAGAGCTAGTTCCAGGACAGGCTCCAAAACCACAGAGAAACCCTGTCTCGAAAAACCAGTAAGAGTTTCCCCCATAAAATCCCAAAGTAATTCAGAGCTTCCTTCCCTATACTATTTATTAAAGTAGTTATAATTTTTTGACAAGTTTGTTTTTCCAGGAGATACTTCCTCAAATAATGCAATGTTTCATTCACCCTTGCCTTCTCAATGTTTCAGAGTGGCTCGATAGTTCAGTGAATGAGTTTTTCAAATCTTAGAAGTCTCCAAGTAAGAGGTCACATGAAAAGTTTCAAATGACTTTTTTTTTGTTGTTGTTTTGTTTTGTTTTTCGAGACAGGGGAGACAGGGTTTCTCTGTGTAGCTTTGGAGTCTGTCCTGGAACTCACTCTGCAGAGAAGGCTGGTCTCGAACTCACAGAAATCCTCTGCCTCTGTCTCTCCAGTGCTGGAATTAAAGATGTGCACCACTATCAACCAGCCCCCAAATGACTTCTTAACTTGCCAAACCTACAAGTAAGAAGCAAACAAGCTGGGAGATGATGATGAATGCCTTTAATTCCAGCACTCAGGAGGCAGATGAACATGCATGCCGCCCCCCCCCCCCCGCTCTGTCTCTCTCTGTTAGGATGGAGAGAAACTCAGTGGTTAAGGTTACTTGTTGCTCTTACAAAGGACCTGGGTTTGATTCCCAGCACCCACATTATGACTTACAACCATCAACCATTCATAACTTCAACCAATCATATATGTGGTGCTCATTCATATACACAAAATAAAATTAAAAAGCACAAGAGGCTGAAGTAGGAGGCCTGCATAAGTTCAAGACCAGTCTGAGCTTCACACAGAGTTGAGTCCTTAGGCCATATGATCCAGCAAATTCAATTGTATCTAAGGTATCAGTGACAGATAGGGATGCTGTCTGGAGTCTTCATGTTAATTATATGAAGTAAAGTGGTTAAGAGCATGGGCTCCATTGTAGCCCATGCTTTTAGTTCCAGGACTCAGGAGGCACAGGCAGACAGGAACTCTGTAAGTTCCAAGCCAGCTTGATCTACAAACCAAGATCTAGAGCTGTTACAAAGAGAGATCCTTTTGGGTAGGTGGGTGGCAGGGGGCAAAGGCAGACATGGGATGAGCTCCAGAGTATATACACTGCAAGGATATTCTCAGGTCCTAACTGACACCACTACTCACAGGACAAATCTGTTTACCTTTCAATGGCTTAGTTTCCTCATATATGAACTGAGCACAATAGGATTGATTGTTCTTATGAAATTAAATGGATAAGTGTAGAGAGCTTCAGCCAGGACCTAGGGCTTAATTATCCAACAATTTTTGCTATCATTACCTCTATCAACTAATTTCTGAGTTTTCCACAAACATGGCCTGTTTCTCTCTCCCTTTCCTACTGGCCTATTAGCCATAACTATAACAAATTAAGAATACTTTTGTGAGACCAAGTACCATGGTGTCTCAAGTGCCAACTAAATATATAGTAAGACTCTTGTCTTAACAAACAAAAACTAAAAATGAGAGAGAGAGAAAGGGAGGGAGGGAAGGAGGGGAGACTACTTCTGTGTTTCCCCCCAGAAAACTCTTGCTCCAAGTTGATTTTTCTAACTTATACACATAAACACACCCACACACTACCTACCTCAGGGTGTTTCTCTGTAGCCCAGGCTAGCCTAAAACTCTCAATTTTCCTGCCTTAGCCTCCAAAAAGCTGGGATTACAGGCATGCAGCATGAGTTCTGGACAAATTAAAAAAAATTTTTTTTTGGTTTTTTTCAAGACAGGGTTTCTCTGTGGCTTTGGAGGCTGTCCTGGAACTCCCTTGGTAGTCCAGGCTGGTCTCGAACTTACAGAGATCCTCCTGCCTCTGCCTCCCGAGTGCTGGGATTAAAGGCGTGCGCCACCAACGACCAGCATACAAATTAAAATTTTAATTCTATAAATGTACAGTGACTATATTGAGAATGTAAAATCTTTTTTTTAAGATTTATTATTTATTATATATACAGTGTTCTGTCTACATGCCAGAAGAGGGCACCAAATTGAATTGTAGATGGTTGTGAGCCACCATGTGGTTGCTGGGAATTGAACTCAGGACCTCTGGAAGAACAGTCAGTGCTCTCAACCTCTGAGCCATCTCTCCAGCCCCGAGAATGTAAAATCTTAAAACAAATTTTATGCCTTAAGATTTTTCCTTTTTTTTTTTAAGAATTCTTTTTTTTTTTTTAAGATTTGTTGTTTATTTATTACATATACAGTGTTCTGCCTATATGCCAGAAGAGGACACCGGAATGAATTGTAGATGGTTGTGAGCCACCATGTGGTTGCTGGGAATTGAACTCAGGACCCCTGGAAGAGCAGTCAGTGCTCTCAACCTCTGAGCCATCTCTCCAGCCCCGAGAATGTAAAATCTTAAAAACAAATTTTATGCCTTAAGATTTTTCCATTCTTTGAAACTTATATTTGGCTGTCTCAATTCTATAAAAGGAAATAGTACTGACTTAGAAAATGACACTCACACTTGTCCCTTCCTTCCCAACCCCTCCCACACCTGTCCCCCAAGGAGTACTATTTTGGTGGTAAGACACTATCTCATTTATGGCACATTTAATAATGAATTAATTCCAAAGTTGTACTGTGCCCACTTACTTTAACTCTATTAAAATCTGAAATTAGCATGACTATAAAGGGCCCTTTATCTTTGTATACTGCCACGATTAAAAAAAGTATTTCCGTCTGGCGGTGGTGTTGCACGCCTTTTATCCCAGCACTTGGGAGGCAGAGGCAGGTGGGTCTCTGTGAGTTCGAGGCCAGCCTGGTCTACAGATCAAGTTCCAGCACAGCCTCCAAAACAATACAGAGAAACTCTGTCTCGAAAAAACAAAAACAAACAAACAAAAGAAATGCATATTAACACTAGCTATTTTAAAGATATATAATTTCTTTTTAAATTAATCTTAACATCTAGAAGAAAACTTACCATCATATACTTAAAAAACCCACAGTCAAACACATCTGGATATTTTATTAGCCTAACTTGGCAATTTATAAAACCAGAATTGGCTCCTTTCACAGGGATACAAGAATCACTAGCAGTTAATGTACTCCCATATCAAATGTCTTGGGAGTGGAGATGTTTTGACCATGTTTCAAACTATAAGATACTGAGGGATGGAAGATGCTTTAACCCTCTTGAGAAAACTTTGCAGCAAATTCAGATGATTTCTTTAACTATAACTCTAATAAAATGTTGACAAAAACAAATCTAGATAGACAAGAATCAGCAGCAAAGGTTCTGGATGTCACATATTGATACCCATTCTGCTAAAAAGTCCATTTAAAGCCACACACAGCGCCCGGAACATCAGGTTTTCCACCCCTACCTTCTGCCCTGTATCTGCATGGTTTTATTGTTGCACAAAAGCACTGAAATACATTACAGGAAGGTTTAATAAGGAGAAGTGTTTAATAAACTGACACTTCCTTTTCCATTATCCAGACGACTAAAGTATTTATAAACAAGCTCCCTTGGAAAGAACTCCCTGCAACTCTAACGGTTTCACTTTGTAGTACTAACGCAGTTCTGAATATGGGAAAAAAAGTCTTCTAAATCGCTAAATAGCAACTAGTCAAACAAGGGATGCTCAAGGAAAGCTGTTTCCAATAAACCCCCACAATTATGTAATAAGCTATGACAATCTTTCCAGTAATTTCCTAGTGTCAAAGGCAACAGAAATAATACCTATTTGTACAAGAGGAAAACGGGAAATTAATAAATATTTTCTCCCCGACTAACTATTACTTTCCCTTTTGTTAATATTACAATGCAGTCATCTACTGACAAAGGAAAAACTGAGAGCTTCTATTTACTGTAGAAGCAAAATTGAGGGCATTACCAGTCATAGGTTTAATTTTGTTTCTAGGGGAGAATTTTTGAAGCAAAAAGATTATTTAAAGTTCACTGACAGCTGATAAGTTCTGGTTAAAGAGTTTGCACAACACAGCCCCGATTATCTGTCACCTGCCCCCCTCCACCATCCACTCTGCACCAAATCCCCATTGTTCTATATAAAACCTCACAGCTAATGACACCTGAATAACAACTGCTATGGAACTCTCCAGCCCGACACTCACTCGCTGCCTTCCTTCCCCCATCAAATCCAAATGTGGTCAACTGTTCACAATTGATAAGGGAAAAAGATCTCAGCTTCTCTTCCAGATATATATCACTCCAGAGGCGGGTGAGTTAGTCCCCCAAAAGGTTACCGTGATAAATAGACCAAAGAAAAACATACATTTAAAGTGGTATTTTATGACCATTAAAAAAATACTGTACCGAAAACACAAAAAAGGTACACTGCCCATGAGACAGATGGTCCTTCTCCCTCGCGCACACAAGGTTTCTTGTGGATTTGGATTCCTGGGACACCACTTCCTCCCCAAGGCAGGCTGGCCGGGACGGAGGCAGAAGTAGTGGCACCCTGGCCCGCCACCTGCCTCTCAGCCTCGGGGACACCCGCAGCAACAACCACACTCACCCATCTTTCCTCTTCGCCTTGTAGACGTGCCCGTAAGTGCCTCGACCAACTTTGCAGCCCTCGTATTCAAACAGGTCCTCGACCCGCTCCCGTTCGCTGCTCAGCTTCACTTTAAAGTCATAGTCCATTGTCACTGCCTCCGAGGCCGGGGTGCTGGGGTGGGGGGCCGAGGGCCGCGGTGGAGACCGGGCCGCGCGGCAGCCGCAGCCCCCGAGCTACACCCGCCGGCCGCAGCACCAGCCCGCCTCACGCGGCGACGGCAGGAGGCCCCGCGCGGGCTCCGGGGACATCCAGGGGAGCGCCGGGCGGTCCCAGCGGGCGCGCGACAGCCGAGGGACGCGCTGGGGGCGGGGAGCAGCGTCCGCCCTTGTCCCCGCGCTCCCGGGGCGCCGGCTCGCGCGCGGTTGGCCGCGCGTGCTGCTGCGAGCGCGGAGCGGCCACGGCTGGCTCTGCTCCTCGCCCACGCGCGTCCGCGCCTCACCTTCTCCCACACGCGCTCACGCACACTCAGGGTGCCATCAGCCTCGACCGACCAGCGACGCCACACAACAGCCGGTAGCTTCTCCGAGAGAGGAGGAGGGAGGGCCGGCGGGCGGGCGCGGAACACGGCGGCCACTGTCGTAAAAACGTCGCGAAGCCTCGCGCTGACTCCGCCCCACCCGCGAGCGCCTCAGGAGGTGGCAGCCACCCCTTCTGACGCCGGTACGCGAAAGCGCCTCGCTCAGCGCCGGTGCGGAGCTGCTGACAGATTCACCACGTGGACCAACCCAGTCGGTGGCCCGGCCAGAAACTACAAGGCTCAGAATACACGGGTGGCTGCTGTAGTCGCCTCTCCCTCGACTCCGCGAATTCAGAGCGTTGCATGATGGTATTGGTAGTCCATCACTCAACGAGTTTCGGCTGCATGGAGATTTCCCCCCCAAAGCTTTATTTCTCCAATCTAAATTAGCCCATATAAGGTTAGCAAAAGATACTCGTTAGCGAGGGGGTTATTTTGTATTGGAGTCGCTTCTGAACTCCAGAATTTAAACGGTATTATTGCTGCTCTCCCACCCCCAAGCCTCCAGGTTTTTCCTATTACAGCCTCTACCTGTCTCTAAATACTACAATAAACTACGCAGTTGTATTCATGGCTTGCCTTCCTTCACCTGAATGTATTTTTCATGAAGTTCTCGGGGCTTGTGCGTGTTAGGCAAGCATACCATTATATTTCCAGTCAGGTAAAGCTATTTTCTCTCTTTTTTTTTTTTTTTTTTTTTTTTTTTTTTTTGGTTTTTCGAGACAGGGTTTCTCTGTGGCTTTGGAGGCTGTCCTGGAACTCGCTCTGTAGACCAGGCTGGCCTCGAACTCACAGAGATCTGCCTGCCTCTGCCTCCCGAGTGCTGGGATTAAAGGCGTGCGCCACCAACGCCCGGCCAGGTAAAGCTATTTTCACTGCACTGAAGATTGAACCCTAATTTTCATTTAAGTCTGTTATCACCTCGAAGAGAGTAAGAGTTTATTCTAGAACCAAATATGAGTGGCCGCCGCTTAGAAACATAAATTTAAAGTTACCATAAATTCCAACTTGCTAACAAACAGTTTAATGGAAAATTTTATACCAAGACAACAAACAGTGAAGGGGGCTGGGGAGTAATGGTAGATTGACAAAACGTTTGACACATTTGTATTTTGATTTCTGCTACTGTGATAAACACCGTGTCTGCACACAACTTGGGGAGAAAATTATTTATATCAACTTACAGGTTAGTCTATCATCAAGAAACCAAAACACCTTTTTTTTTTAAGTCATACATGTCTATGTGTGCCTGTAATACTAATGCTCAAGAGACAGAAGAGGCAGGATCTCTGTAGTAGGATGGCCAGCTAGTCTTACCGGTGTGCTCAAAGTTCCATGACAGACATCAACCTCTAGCCTCCAGACACATATGCTTACACCTGTACACTTCTGTGCATACACAAGAACACATTTGTGGAAACATCAAGGAGGTTGGTGATAGAAAACAAGAATGCATCTGCTATGGATCTCACATGTCCTCGAATGGCCAATTCTTAGCTTTTGGATTGGTGGGAGTTAATGTTCTGCTTGTGATTTAACCAATAAGAAGATGCAGATCGGGGGAGGAGGGGGGCTTCAGTTCACAGCTCTCCCTGTTGGCCAAGCATCACACCTTTGTGTATGTGGAGGCCTAATGTATGATGTTCCACACTGAGAGGAAGGTTTGTCTCTAGAATCTGATAAGGATGAGGATGAAGAGGCAAGAAACAAAAGGTTCAGGAGAGGCAAGTAACTAGTAAAGTCATTAAGGAAGCAACAATAACAAAATCCACCTAGATAAAATCAAGTCAGCTATAATTATCCAATTTGATTTCCCCTCCCCCTCCACATCTGACATATGTAAAACACAATAAGGATATTACACCTACAATTGAAATAATCCAGAAAGAGACTGGAGCGGCAGCTCAGTGGTTAAGGGCACTTAATATATAATATAGTAGTAACTAAAATTCCCATTTAACAAAATTATATGGAAGTTGGGAAAGGTTATTGTATGTACAAAAATGAGGTCAGACTTCTGAGAACTCAGGATTCCAAGGACTTTGTAAGTATAATTAAGTACTTTTTGTTTTTTTTTTGTTTGTTTGTTTATTTTTTGGTTTTTCGAGACAGGGTTTCTCTGTGGCTTTGGAGGATGTCCTGGAACTAGCTCTGTAGACCAGGCTGGTCTCGAACTCACAGAGATCCGCCTGCCTCTGCCTCCCGAGTGCTGGGATTAAAGGCGTGCGCCACCAACGCCCGGCACTTTTTGGTTTTTAAAATTTTATTTACATAATCAAATCTTACTTATTTTACAGCAAAAAAGGGGGAAGTTCAATAGGAGTCACATTGTAATTGTCCATTAACTTTTTTTTTTAAGAGACAGGATTTCTCTGCTTGATAATGGCTGTCCTGGAACTCACTGTGTAGACCAGGCTGGCCTGGAACTCTGAGATTTTGTCTGTCTCTGTCTCCTGAGTACTAGGATTAAAAGTGTGCACCTGGCCGGGCGTTGGTGGCGCATGCCTTTAATCCCAGCACTCGGGAGGCAGAGGCAGGCGGATCTCTGTGAGTTCCAGGCCAGCCTGGACTACCAAGTGAGTTCCAGGACAGCCTCCAAAGCCACAGAGAAACCCTGTCTCGAAAAACCAAAAAAAAAAAAAAAAAAAAAAAAAAAGTGTGCACCTGGTAGTGTCAATTCACTTTTTATCAGCAAAATATGACTTGCTACCTTTTAAAATCCCAGCTAATTTTACTATAGCACATCTTAAATGTTTACCAAGAAACACGGGTGCTTGGGGAAGAGAGATGGCTCTATGGATAAGAGCACTGACTGCGCTTCTAGAGAACACAGATTTTATTCCTAGCGCCATATGGTAACTCATAATCTTCTATAACTACAGTTCTAGGGGACCTGACACACTTTTCTGGCTACTGTGTGTGTTTCACACACATATTGGCATGTACATGCACTCAGGTACACACACACACACACACACACACACACACACAATTAAATATTTTTTTAAAGATAGGCTCATGAGTTATAAAAAACACCAAGCAAACATCTATTTTAAAAATAATACATAAGGGGCTGGAGAGATGGCTCAGGGGTTAAGAGCACTAACTGCTCTTCCAGAGGTCCTAAGTTCAATTCCCAGCAGCCACATGGTGGCTCACAACCATCTGTAATGAGGTACAGTGCCATCTTCTGGTGTGTAGTAATACATGCAGGCAGAATACAGTATACATAATAAATAATAAAATTTTAAAAATAATAATAAATAAGTGCTGGAGAGATGGCTCAGAGGTTAAGAGCACTGGTTACTCTTCCAGAGGTCCTGAGTTCAATTCCCAGCAACCACATGGTCATGGTGTTTCACAACCATCTAGAATGAGATCTGGTGCCCTCTTCAGGCCTGCAGACACACAGGCAGGCAAAATACTGTATACATAATAAATAAACGAATAAATAAATAAGGATTAATATAAAATTTTTAAAAGGACTTAAGAAATACAAAGCATGGTGAGCATTAATGTTGTCAAGAGGTTTTGAGTTTAGACACATGGGGTACTCTCCTGTCAATGCAGTTGAAGATGAGAATCACCTGTTTTCTATAGTCTTGAACATGTTTGCAGGAGTTGGCATTAGTTTGAGGTGAAAAATAAGAATGGATGAGTCTTCAGGCAATTTGCAACACAGGAGGCAGTTACAAGTTCCTGAAGGAATCCTTTTACAAAGGCTATCTTTTTTACTTTTTTTCCCCTACTTGTTCTTTTCCTGGGACCTCACCATGGAAAAACAAAACAGCTTGGTTAACAAATGCTGAATTTGCAGTTACCATGTTTAAAAGTTCCCTGTAATGGTGTATGGTTCACATCAATAGAGAAGGATGACACAGATTTTACTTAATTTTTAAGTACTTAATTCATAAGGAGATAATAGATGTTTCCTTAAAGATAGATCTCAGATTTAGAATGAATGAGAGTGTCTCTGGCAAAGGAAGCTAAAAGTTTTAGCAAGTTTTGACAGTTGTGGTGATGCTTTGCTTGTGATCTAACAAAGCTTGCCTGAAGGTCAGAGTGTGGAACTAGCCACACTAGCTAGCCAGAGACAACAGGCAGTGGTTGCACAAACTTTTAATCCCAGCACTCGGGAAGGAGAGGCAAGCAAGATCTCTGTGAGTTCAAGGCCACCCTGGGCTTGAGTGATTCAGTAAAAAAGAGAAACAGAGCTCATACCTTTGACCTAGCACTTGGGATCACCCACCTTTAATCACAGCACCAGGGAGATAGAGACAGTGATATGGCTGGGTGGAAAGAGGAATATAGGCAGGAGGAGACAGGAGCTCAGGGCATTTCAGTCTGAGGATTCATAGGGACGGGATCATTCCTTTGGTCTGAGGATTCAGTAGACGTAGGAGGTCACTCTTGTGGCTGGCTCCTTTACTTCTCTGATCTTTCATCATTTACCCTGATTATCTGACTGTGGACTTTCATTATTAAGACCTATTAGAAGTTGTGCTACAGACAGTTTTAAATGTCTGCCTCCCCTAGTTGGGGGTATTAAAGACTTTTGCCAGTATGTGA